CCCCAAAACCCCAAAACCCCAAAACCCCAAAACCCCAAAACCCCATCTTGTTATGATCATATTGCCACTTTAGATATAATTTACTAATTTGGATTCATGCTTACTTCCAAGATGAAGGTGGCATTTTAGTGAAAATCCCATTTAAAATTCTTCTTCAGAGTGTACTCTTCTTGAGGTTTCCTGGTGAGAAGGTGCTTTAGCCTCGCCGCAGTTATACCAGAGAACTGCATTGCGGTGATATTGACCAAGTTTTCTACATTATTTTTCATAAGTACTCTTTCTACGGGATTGAAGGTCTACTAAATAAATTAGAAAGTTACTCTGAAGCAAAAATTGTTGGCTATGATCATCTGGTTGGTTGTAAAATTGAATTCTTTTGCGAGCGAGGTTTACCCCTATTTTAATCGATTTATTTATGATGAGGGCTCAATTTTAGGTTATCATGTTTATCTCTAAAACTATTGTGTCCATATCTCATTGCCCCTATCTTTTCTTTGGTCAACTGGATTTTATTTACGATGAGTGGTGGGTGCATTTGTATGGATGTTAAAACTCATAGATTTCTTGTGAGCTAGTAGTTCCTTACTCTTATTACCAATAGATTCTAAATTGCTCAACAAAAATGACTTACCTTCTATACTAGACATAGCATCATTGTCTATTTCAGGGAGGACCGAAACTTTAGGGAACTTATTTATTCTCGACTGTACTATCCACGTTAAATTTAGGGATTTTCACACTTGTATTAGAAGGACTTTCCCAGTGGCTATGAACCTCTGAAGAAGGTTCATAAGTTGCTAATTTAGTTAGGTTTTGTCTGAAAGATCTCTTAGTTAGAATTCTTTTGCATCTTTGAACTCAATTTTCTGCTTAAATTTTCAGTATTCTTAATCCTATGAATATTCAACTCGATCCATTTGAGAAGGCGGTTAAAATCAACTTCTCTAGATGGTTCATTAGGAGATCCCTGGAATTCGATAAATGCTTCAATAGCTTGCACTTGATTGATATGGTATCCGAAACTCTTCATGACTTTAATAAAATCATCTCTTTTCATTTCCCTTATAGACTTCTTGTTCTTGTTCATTGCATTCTTGATCATCTTTCTGAATTCATCTGGGGATTTCACACCAGCCTTCTTCTCTAATTTCGAGGAATTAGTATTTAAACTTTGCATTTTTACTGTTCTCTGTGGCGAGAACATTAATTTTGCTCCTTTTGAAGCTCCGATACTCGATTTCTATATCAAAATAGGAACATTTATACAAAAACAAACAAATTTACAAGCCAGTGGAAGATATTTGATTGGGAGAAAGAAATATTACTCTTGAAGTTTTCTGATTCATTACATCCTTAAGCTTTTCATTCAGAGTGCTCTTCTTTGGAGCGATGATTACTGATCTTCTCATTTTTTTACTATAATTTTACATTCAATTTGATTACTTATCTTGGGGTTTTGGGGTTTTGGGGTTTTGGGGTTTTGGGG